CGTGATTATGAGAAAAATTAGCATGCTCACGCACTCAGCACACTCAAAAGCCATGAGACTCCTGCCCAATAATAGTTCCTCCTGCCCAGAACTATTCTGTACTCTGGACTAGAAAGTGCAGAATTCAGGCCAGATTGCACTTTCAGAAACATTTCCCCTTTTAGCTGTTGTTGTCTCATAGATAATCGGAATAACACCGAACTTTGAAACAATCTGCTGATGGCAGTGATTTTCCAGAGAAAAGGGAGGTTCTTCCCTCAGTGCTCATGACTAAGGCTATCTATGGAAACAGGCACCTGGTTGTTTAGGAATGTATTGGCCCTTGCCTATTTGCTTCCCACTCTAAGCCAGAACTCTCTGTCTGCTTGAGAGATCAGCATTCATCCTCAGAGTGACAGACCATCATGCCACATCAAAGGAGATTTTTATTTGAAATACTTTTAGAGATTCTTATCAAATGAAGAAAGAGCTAGAGTATAGTTAAGTGACTTACAGAAAACTAAAGTGTTCAAGACATCAAGAGACTCTCTGGCCATTTTTAAAACGTGTCTTTTGCTGGAAACCAAAGAAATGTGTCCTTTTTTTTCAAATTAATAAAATAATGCATGCCGATTGTAATAAGACAAAGAATCCAGAAGTGTATTGAGTACTATTGTTCCTTTCCTCTCTCAAATCCATGCTTCTGAGATAAACTGGTTTAAAAGCCAGCATGTATCATTCCATGTTCTGTTAATACGTTTATCTAGTCTTATACAAATATATATGTATAATACATCCCAGGGCTTTTAGAAAGAATTATTTTATTTAACTTGACTTATTTATTTTATCTTAATTTGAAAAGCAGAGAGGAGAGAGAGAAAGTAAGAAAGCAAGCAAAGGGGGGAGGAGAGAGAGAAAGTAAGAAAGCAAGGCACCAGGTGCAGGACTCAAACCATCGTCAGCCATGTGGGAATCCAGCATCCTTAACCACCCACCACGCCACCTCACCTGCTGGCCCCAATCCATTTTGTAATAGAACTTAATACAAGTCTGGGATAATATTACATTGTTCAACAATTTGCTTTGCAGTTTGCTTTCCATACTATAATAGACAGCATTCCAAGCCAATATACACTGTTAACACATTGTTTTGAGGGGCTAACCAGTATTTCCTGGTATGAATGTCAAATGGTTTATACAGTCATTCCTCTGTTGATGAACAATTAGTCATTCTCAACAGATTGTTGTTACAATGTTACATATTTTTCTACATATTTATTATGTTTTTTATTTCTTAGGATAGACACCTATCTCTGGGAGTGATATGTCAAACAGGGCAAACATTCTTCATTTTATAAACATATTGCTCAATTACTCTCCCAAAAGATAGTGCCAACAATGTCAAGGTATGCACGTTTCCCAACATCTTCACCTAGACTGGATATTATTAACTTTTCTAAATGGCGTCAAGCAATGGTGGGTCAAAAATAATCACGTACTGTTGTTTTAATTTACACTTCTGTGGGACCAATTTAAATATCAATTGCTATTTTGTTGTGATTTTTAAAAAAATTATATTTATCACTTATCAAAAGACAATGAAATATTTTTCTATGTAACTTTCTTAAAGTCCTGAAGGGCACAAGTCTTATACACTATTTTGTGAGTATCCCTTATAAACACAAAGGTTAATTCACATACCAGGAAACTTAACATTGCAATTCTATTATATGAATTTAAATATGTATGTTTTCTGAATTAAACTACAGAATTCTAATGTTTAATAATCAAAATGAAGTGTTAATTTTAACAGTCAAAAGAAAGTTACCAGCCTTCCTATCTAGCTATCACAGTCAGAGTAACAAAACATTAACAATAGGGGACTAGCAGATAGTGTAATGGTTACGTTGTTGGACTCCCATGTAGTTGACATGGTTCAAGTCCTGGACCTGGCACCTTAAAACTCACACCTGGCACAGGTACATGTGTGCATAAAATCCCGAGAGGAGATTGGAGGAGAAGGGACTGTGGTGTGACCATACCTCCCGGGGGTGATTTCTCAGTTTCTGTCTCTATCTCTCTGGTGAGCACACACACTCTATAGCAAAAAAATCTCTTCAAAAAAAAAATGACAAGAGCAACAAAAATCTATTCAGTTTATCACTGAGGGTATTAAGATAGAGCCCTTGTGGCACACTTGAATAGGTAGACATGGAAGGGTTATCTCAAGTGGTAATAATTAAATAATTCTCTGAGCGTCAAAAAGAACCAGGCATATGTACATTAAAGAAGGTTCTAGAAAGGTATAGTCAGGGAACAGAAAGGCCAGTGTGTCTAAATAGTGAGGATGAGAGAGAAACTGAGGATAATAGGATAGACTGCAGAGATTGAGAGAGATTTGGGGATAGGAAGTCCTTCTTGCATGTGTAATGGTTAAGTCATTATATATAAGCGAAGATAGATGAGGACTGATAACCCAAGAGGTGACTCTAAGGTCCAGGAAAGGGTTAGGAATGACGATACAGATTAGGAAACACTGGTTCCAAATTCCATTTAAACCCAGTGGACTCGAGATCACCTAGGGGTTATCCAGCAAAGAGAAAAAAAAAAAAAAAAAAACAATCACGGAGTGTGTTTATAGAGACGGAGCATGACAGCAAAGTACTAAGTAGTCTCTAAAAACATAGCAGTATTATAGTACGATTTGTGCAAAAGATACGACTTTAAAAGTTAGATATGTCTAAAATTGTAATATGCACTATTTTCAATGGCTTGTAAGCTCATTTTAAGGAACCCCATGTTGAGTTATCTTGTGAAGTAAAATTTTCATATTAAAATGTTCTACTAAAATAATAAACTCTAAAGTGTTCTGAGAATTCAGATGTGTGAGATACTGACATTTTAAGTTGACTCATGGTTAGAAAGAGAGAGATATACAATGACCTAAATTTTTTAAAAAAAGGAAGGAAAGGAAGAAAATCATGTGTTAAAAGGTAACGATTGGCTCTTCACACTTTACCTTAGATGCTTCTTTCACTAGCCTCGCCCAGTCTGGTTGATTCTTTTTAATTCTCCTAAAACCATGGGCTTCATTTAATTTATTCAAATGGTGATAATTCAGGAATGTGCATATATCAATTAAAATACTAACATCCAAAATACAAAGTCCTGATTTGAGGTGCCATAGTTTAAAAAAAAAAAAAACCTTAAAGATTTACAAATGAATGACCTACCGAAAAGGCAGCTAAACAGACCTCAACAAATTTTAATCTTGTATTCTATCTTACCTCACATACTTGGTTCTTGCAGGATCACTTTAGAAAGTTAAGAAACAGTTCAACGCTGTACATCATAAAAATCCAAGCTAGGTTTAATTTTCAGGTCTCTTTACAGGCTTGTTTCCTCTTTTTGGCAATGACTTAGTACCAGAAAGACTGACTTTATAGTGACATTCTAAGAAACACACATGAAAAATTTACTCAAAGATTGATTTTGTTTTGAAACCATTAAACAAGTGCCAGGGATTTTCCAAGTAAAACTCTTAAAATATTTAGTGGCTTGGAGAAGAGTATTTACGTATTAAATGCAAGGTGATTTTCTTGAGTCATGAATAAGCAATTTTAGCAGATAATCTATTTCCATGCTCTTCATAAGTATATTATTAATAGTAACATATAAATATGAAATTTATAAATCTTGATTAAAACTTTAAAAATATTTTTTTTAGTATTTTAGTTTTATTCTAAATGAAAATATAATAAATTGGATAAATGCAGAAGTAAAAGGTAAAGAATGAAAGAGAATGGGGGACCAGCAGATGGCATAATGGTAACAGTGCTGGACTCCCACATAGCCGACCACAGTTAGACAGAAAGCAAGAAATAGCCCGCCCCCTTCCCCGAGGACCGGAGGCAGGGTGGGCAGGAATGGCTACAGAGCAATTCCTTCTCCTCCATGTCCCTCTCAGGAGTTTGGGCACACATGCATACATGCCCAATGTTCATTTCAAGCTGCCGGTCCAGGATTCAAACTTTAGTAAGTCATGTGGAACTCCAGCAACATAACCATTACAGCATCTGCTGGTCCTGAAATTTTAGTTTTCAATACCTAAAAACTCCTATTTCAAAGTTCAGAAAACATTACAATTACAAAAAATAAATACAGATTGAATATTTCTTATTTGAAATGGTTGGGAACAGAAGCATTGCAGATTTTTAATGTTTTTTATTATTTTTGGAATATCTGCATGTTCATAATGAAAAATATTGGGTTAAGTCCTAAATCTAAACATAAAATTCTTTTATATTTCATATTGCCATATACACATAGAGTGAAGGTAATTTTTCACAATAGTTTGTATTGCAGTGTTTTGAATGTGACACATTACAGGAGGTCAGGTATAGAATTTTCCACTTGCAGCACCACGTTGGCACTTTAAAACTTTTGAATTGTGGAGCATTTGGATTTTGAATTTTTAGATTAAGTATTAGGCACCCCTATTTTAATTCCCAAAACACTATAATTAAAGTTAACTGTTTCATGTCATGCAAACTAGGTAAACTATATAATCTAAAAATGTATCCCTATTTCACATTGCAACATGCTAGAATGAGGATGAATAAAAACGGCAAAGTTTGTTCTTCGCATAACTACATGAAAACTTGAAAAGAAAACCACGTGTTGGATATTTATTTATTCACTAGCAGAACAAACAGCTAGCACTTTTAAAATGTCAGTTATGTAGTTATCTCATCACTCAATATGGGCTAAATAAATAAATAAAACGAAAAGAATGACAGCAAAGATTAAAGACCTAAACTCATTAGAAAAAAAAATGATCAAAGGAATAGTATTCACACAAAATTCAGAGAGGATGAGAGTCCATAGACAGAAAAAAAAATAATCCTACATAGACAGGAAAAAACAAAAAGTGGCAACAGATAAAGTTCAGGTAACTTGTAGCACGCTTACAGTGAAGACAGTGTAATCATTATTAAATTTGAAGCATGAGAGTAACTCACCTGGGTGAGGGATCCACATGACAGACAAGAGCAGTAAGGACAGAGGAGCACTGGGCTTCCATTTCCAATGGCAGCTCCACGTTCGTCCTGAGCGAAACATCCTGCAATGAAACAAGGGAGCCATCAGGGTAGGAACCTGCAGGAAAGTCGCAGAATCAAAGTAAGAGTATAGTTTTCCAGCGGGGACTGGAAAACCGCCTTTTTTCAGCCTTATTTCCAAATAAAGATGATGATGATGAGCTAATCATCCCTTGAAGCTTATTAGCAAAAGAAAAAAAAAACGCTCTTTTGCTTGCCATTTGGTGGTACCTTCCTCATTAAAATATAAGTAATGAGTAGTTTTTGAATACAGACAGGTAAGAATTCAGAAAAGTCATGAAAAAAAATGTATTTAAAAGAAATAATAAGTCCTGAAATTTTAGTTTTCAATACCTAAAAACTCCTATTTCAAAGTTCAGAAAACATTACAATTACAAAAAATAAATACAGATTGAATATTTCTTATTTGAAATGGTTGGGAACAGAAGCATTGCAGATTTTTAATGTTTTTTATTATTTTTGGAATATCTGCATGTTCATAATGAAAAATATTGGGTTAAGTCCTAAATCTAAACATAAAATTCTTTTATATTTCATATTGCCATATACACATAGAGTGAAGGTAATTTTTCACAATAGTTTGTATTGCAGTGTTTTGAATGTGACACATTACAGGAGGTCAGGTATAGAATTTTCCACTTGCAGCACCACGTTGGCACTTTAAAACTTTTGAATTGTGGAGCATTTGGATTTTGAATTTTTAGATTAAGTATTAGGCACCCCTATTTTAATTCCCAAAACACTATAATTAAAGTTAACTGTTTCATGTCATGCAAACTAGGTAAACTATATAATCTAAAAATGTATCCCTATTTCACATTGCAACATGCTAGAATGAGGATGAATAAAAACGGCAAAGTTTGTTCTTCGCATAACTACATGAAAACTTGAAAAGAAAACCACGTGTTGGATATTTATTTATTCACTAGCAGAACAAACAGCTAGCACTTTTAAAATGTCAGTTATGTAGTTATCTCATCACTCAATATGGGCTAAATAAATAAATAAAACGAAAAGAATGACAGCAAAGATTAAAGACCTAAACTCATTAGAAAAAAAAATGATCAAAGGAATAGTATTCACACAAAATTCAGAGAGGATGAGAGTCCATAGACAGAAAAAAAAATAATCCTACATAGACAGGAAAAAACAAAAAGTGGCAACAGATAAAGTTCAGGTAACTTGTAGCACGCTTACAGTGAAGACAGTGTAATCATTATTAAATTTGAAGCATGAGAGTAACTCACCTGGGTGAGGGATCCACATGACAGACAAGAGCAGTAAGGACAGAGGAGCACTGGGCTTCCATTTCCAATGGCAGCTCCACGTTCGTCCTGAGCGAAACATCCTGCAATGAAACAAGGGAGCCATCAGGGTAGGAACCTGCAGGAAAGTCGCAGAATCAAAGTAAGAGTATAGTTTTCCAGCGGGGACTGGAAAACCGCCTTTTTTCAGCCTTATTTCCAAATAAAGATGATGATGATGAGCTAATCATCCCTTGAAGCTTATTAGCAAAAGAAAAAAAAAACGCTCTTTTGCTTGCCATTTGGTGGTACCTTCCTCATTAAAATATAAGTAATGAGTAGTTTTTGAATACAGACAGGTAAGAATTCAGAAAAGTCATGAAAAAAAATGTATTTAAAAGAAATAATAAAACAAGTTTAGCTTCAGCTTTCTCAGCCTCACCAGACACGCACCCCTCTGGGTAGCAGGAGAATGTTTTTAACAATCTCTCCTTCTATTGTCCCAAATTTAGACTTTAAAGAAATGTTTTCATGTTATAATGTCTGCTGTTTGACAAACTAGAAAAGATGTTAATGGTCAGATGGTTTGTGAGCTCACCAGAGTGAGATAGAAAGAGATGGGGGAAAGGGAGAAAGCACCCTTCAACAGGGCGTGGTCACCCACAACCCCTTCTCCACTTCATCCTGTCACTATCAGGGGCACGCATGCACATTCACTCCGCTCGTTTCTCAGGCCTTTGGAGCTGAGATGTGAATCTCAATCAGCCATGTGGGATCTAGCTTTCTTAACCACTAGGCCACGGTTATTATATATATATATACTCTCTTTCATGGCATAAAAAGAAGCACTGAAGCATTAACATTGTAAAAAGATTAAATTTTTTTTATATATGATAATAGCTATGAACATTTTTAAATGGCTGGAAAAGACCAATTATTAAAGAAATTAGTATATGACATCAGATAGAGGGGTGGTGCTTTGAAAACTTAGATAATCTTTCTGCACAATGAATTCTTTTTCAAACTGAAAATTATATTTATAGTGATTTAGAAAGGAACTTCTGCAATGCTCTGGCCTGAAGTAGAAGGATGATGCATCTCACTAAACGGCACCAGTAGAGGCAAGCCCAAGAAGAGGGCAGCAAGGCTAAATCAGTTGCCAAAAGGGACCTTTAGTGGATTGGTGAGTGAGTCATGAGGCAGAAAGGTGGTTGATGAAATAGATGTGCTTAACACTCAGAAAGCACTCAGTAAGTATTAGTCGTTGTTATCATGACCCCAGGCATTCTAATATCAAGTGTGGTCATTCTTCTAGAGTGAAATCAATGGAAAAGGCTTAAACAAGAATGGACAATAAGATTAATCTCATATGCCAACACCAATATATTGGCTTTGGAGTCACTTTTTTTTTTTTTTTTTTTTTGAAGGGTTTTTATACAGGGAACTCACCAGAAAGTCAGAGAGAGATAGAAAGACAGAAAGCAAGAAATCATCCCCCAGGGGGATGGCCATGCTGCAATCCCTTCTCCTCCATTCTCCTCTTGGGATCTTGGGCATGCATGCACACACCCGGTGTGAGTTTAAGCCACCAGATCTAGGACTTGAACTGTGGTCGACTACATAGGAGTCCAGAGACATGGCCATTACGCCAACTGCTGGTCCCTGGAGTCACTTCTGAGATCATTTGGGAACAAAAATGAAATTGGTTATTCCTAGTGCATGAAACTCAGGCCACATTTCTGTATTTACCAAACTAGAAGTTCTGGCATCACACGCCTGATGTAAATTCTAAACTACGAAAAAGTTAAGAGCTGAAGCGTACTTTTTTAGTACAAAAAGCATGTTTTCAAATACATCCATCCAAAGTATTTTTAATTTAAAGCAATTACTGCTATTAGAAACCTGTTTTAGTAAGTAATGAGAATGAGAATGAGAATGGATATGGATTGTGGAATGACATAGACTCACATCTGGTTCCTCTGTCAATAGTGTGGTTTGGAGGACAAGTACTTAAAACTCTGAGCCGATTTCCTCTTCTGTAAATAGGATATTATCCACCGAAAATAACTAGAAATAAACAGTGTATGCAACAAGTAGGAACTTTTAAAAGGGTAGGCGATAAACATCTGTCACATAGAGAGTTCACTCATCTGAAAGAAACAGCCCACTTCCTATTGATGCTGGATGAATGAGTACATTTCTAAAACAAAAACACAATTATATATTCAATGACGTTTAGAGCTGGAAAGACCAAAAATGAAGACTAACCTTTTCGTTTCACAGAAGAGGAAACTCAGGTCTGGAAAAATAAAGGGGCAGACAAATTAAACCCAGCTTCTAAACTTACATATATATATGTGTGTGTGTGTGTGTGTGTGTGTGTATGTATATATACATATATATATACACATACAGACAAATATATTTAAGATATTCATCTATTTCTCTCATGAGAGAAACAGGCACATAGACACACACACACATACACACATGCATGCACACACACAAACTCTTTTAACAGAGTCAAGCTGCAATCCACCCCCAGCATCCGCCAGCCCAGATCATGAGCATGTGTGTGCTCTAGCAAGTAGAGGGAGACCTTGGGCTATGATCCAGGGACCTTCTCGCATAGGCCCAGTAGCATTACTGCTGTGCTACCACCTAGCCCAATGCCAGCCTTACAAATATATTAACAGACAGAAGTATCAGTCCAAGAGAACTCCCAGCTGCTCACTCTGTGACACGTGACAATTCTCCTTTATCAATATGTGAATAACGATCCCCTCTTAATTTCATGCTCTCACTACTCTCTACTAAAGGAATCATGGTCATTAGCTTGGCTGCACTCAGCACTGTTCATTTCATGTGCTCACACATCTTCTCCTTCGCTTTGAAAAGTTGACCTTTAGAGATTCCATGTTCCAACCCCGAAGTTGTTTTTACCAAAGCTGACTGTAATCCTATCAAGTAATTAGCTACAAATGATGACAACAAAGTTCTAAGACTCCATCACTTTAGACAGAAAAAGAACCCAGGACAGGACAAGCATTTGTAACCAAACATAAGCCACGTGACACACCAACTTTCATCCACTTTACTGTTGACTGAAGAACACAAACAAATAAATTAAGAATAGAACAGAGGAAGGAAAGCACTGTATGTCTTCTCAAGGGATCACTTAGCAAAGACACATCCCTGAGATTTAAACAACTTTCTCAGAAGAATGGAAAATCTAACAGGGTCACTAAAGTTCTAAATAGGAACTATAAAAATGAAGTACAGTCTTGTACTACTAGGACAGTGGCCTTAAAGTTCTGAAGAGAGCAGGGATACGTTTAAGTAAAAGAGTCACAGGTCAGTATAACATAAAGGAACCTAAATATTATCCAATATGTGAAAAAACTAAAATGCTAACCAACTTGACAAGATCACATAATCAGTGATGGCAGAGCCCAGAACCCAATGGTGTCACCTGTCTACTGATGCAGGTGTCCTCTCTGAGCACCAAGCTACCTCTTGCAAACTCGTTCTGTTTCAGGAAGCTTTGGAGTGTGGCTCTTTCATAGGAATCATTTTAAATATATTAGCTGTAGGAAAAGTCATGACGTGTTTTTCTATGCAAAAAGGCATCATGACTTTTCTGATGAACCAATAACTATGACCCCTGTAGACATGATTTGATCTAAATGCATTACTAAACTAATCTAAAAATCTACTGTTTTCCATCTCTCTCGTGGTTTCCCCAAAAGTCACATTTTTAAAAAAGAAGTATTTTATTTAACTTTATTTATTCACGTATTCATTTTTATTTATTTTAATTTGACCAG